TACCTCCCTGGTACAGGTGCTAATGAGGCTTCATCTGTTTGGCTAAGGAAGCTGCCACAGGAACCCTGCCAAATCCCCTTGGCCCGGCTGCAGCAAAGAAAAGAGCAGCCAGGACCAGGGCTTAGTGCTGCTGTAAAGTAACCAGAGAAGAGGGATCATCCTGCCCAGCTCACTGGCCTAATAACGAGATCAAATCTCTGAAGTTGTAATCTGGTGGTTCAGAGAACAGGACTAATTCTGCGTAAGCTGACGGGTCTAATTATTGGACCTGTTTCTGGAACAGACGGGGGTGCAGGTGCCCAGCTGCCCTGTCCAGAGCCGAGGTGTTCCAGGGTCCTTTGGCCCCAACAGCCTTGCACCCCTGTGCCCACCCCAGTGCCTGGTGGGGGTGCAGGTGACAGGATGTCCCTGAGGACATGCCTGGTGACGTGTCTGCTGCACGAGGAGCACACCGAGCGCTGGGCAGGAGCCTCCTGCCCTCGGCTCTGGGAAGAAACATTTTGCTGCCAAGGGACCCCCATGCCAGCCCCTGCACTGCTCCCAGGCTGCTGGGCAGCAGTGGTGGGATGGATGGATGGCAGCAGCTCTCCTAATCATCCCGAGAGGAGTCCTGCCTGAATCTCCGGGCTTGCAGCTGGCACGTGCCTGGGGACACTGCACTGGTGCCAAAGTCAGCTGCAGGGAGGAGACTTTGGAGCTGGGAGATGTGGCAGTCCTGGTGACACTGCTGTGCTGGGGCAGAGGCAGCTGCCACCTCCCTGGCAGCCACAGGACCCCGGGGTGAATCAGCCCCAGCCTTGCCTGCTGACAGCCCTGGCGAGGAGGGGGCACACAGGGTGGGCAGGGTCCAGGGGTTCCCTGTGTCCTGGAGCACCAGGGCTGCCTGTCCAGCTCCCTGCTGGGACCGTGGCCTGGCACGACCACGGGGCTTCCCCAGTGACATCTGGGGGGTGGGAACTGGAATGATTTAAGGTCCCTTCCAACCCAAACCGGTGATGCTGTGATTCCAGGGCTTCTGCTGCCCTCCAGGTTGCTGCCCGTCAGCCTGGGCATGCCAGAGCAGAGGCACAAACTGCTGTCACTGCTCTCTTCACCCCCACCCCAATGCACAAACCCCAGCAGCAGGCCCCCGGCCAAAGGAATTCCTGTGTAAGTGACAGATACCAAATGACCCTGATTTCGAAAACAGGAGCTGCTCTTTCATGAGAAAATCGCGTGTCTGGTAAACACTGATGGGAGGATAAGGGGGCAAGAGGAAAGGTCAGATGCAGAGACTTCTGTCGCACTGGAGGAAGTGTGGAAAGCACAAAAACTACTTTTGACAACTCCCTGGCAGGCAGCTTTTCCATGCCAAGCCACTGCTGAGCTCCAGCCTTGCGGGAGAGCAGGATGGACACAGCTGAGGGGCGGGGGAACCTCCCGGCGGGGCCTTTTCCAGCCGGGATCTGCATTAACTGGCTGCTTCACCCAAACAGCTGCTCGAGGGAAGGTCTGGCACCCTTGTCCACGGATCCCTCTTACACTTGGGTCCTTCCCCAGCTCTCCACAGAGCCCCTGCCCTGGGTACCAGGTCCCAGCTCCACACATTTAAACCTCATCCCCTTTCTGTGCTTTTCTCTAGTGCATAAAACCTGATTTTTTTAAATAATTTTTTTTAGCACTTATTAATATTAAAGTGCGTCTCCTTAGGGGGCGTGTAAAGAAAAGGCAGAGCCTCTGGGTGGGGGGGAACGCTAGAACTGCACAAAACCACATAATTTAATTTATATTCTCCTGTTTAAATTAATGCTTGGTTTTAAAAGGCTGTTTAAAAACAGGACAAAGAACTCCCTGGCAGTGTTAACTGGGCCACTTCAAGCAAATGGGCTTTAGCAGAGAAATGTACAAGTTAATGTGCTGTTCCAGCAGAGAATCCCCTCTCTGTGAAAGCATAGAGAAATGACAGGCTCGTGGTTATTGATTTTGGGTTTTGAAATGAAATTATGGCAATTATTTTGTTCTTCAGAACATGAAGAATTAATAGAATTCACAGAAGACAAATATTGGATTATCCTGGCCCAGGGGTTTTTGTGGCTGGTGCTGAAGCAATAAACAAACATTTCCTGGGAGAGCTGTCATGTCCCAGGGTGGCTGCCAGGAAGCACATGAGGGGAAGCCTGGGGCCAGCCTGGCCAATGCCCCTTGATCCCAATGCTCCTGTCCCTCCAGCAGCACTCACCACAGGCCAGAGCCCCTTTTATAGTAAAATAGGACAAATTGGGTACCTTTTTCTTTACATGTATATTCTTCATATATATATTCTTTAAGGTTCACGCAACCTTGCAGAGGAGGGATCAGAACAGCACAAGAGAACGTGTTTACGGCTTCACACCTAAATTTGAGACGTGTTTTTAACCTGACATCTGTGTATTTTCAGCCCTTTCCAAAGTGCTTGTTTTGCTTTCTATGGCTTCTGCTTCATTATTCTAATTTAATAAAGCCGTGGCGAAGGCAGAGCGCTGACTCTTTGTGGCTAATGAAAGACATTGATTTGTTTGTACTTCTTGTTACAGATTTTTCCTAATTACAGGCATTTTTCAGAGGCATTTGAAAAAATAAACGAGCAGCTGGTTTGAATGTGCAACCTATTATTGTATTTCCTAGAGCTGTGGAAAAAGTATTACACTCACAGCGGGGTGGTTTTCAATGCAGGAGAGCAGAAAAGGCACTTTTCAGGTAGGAGTCCACTGGCCTCCTTCTCTCATTGCTACTGCCAAGAAAAAGCCAATTTTTAAGTCTTCCTGGCACCCCTGGAGTGTCCACCAGCTCTGAGTGGGATGTGTGGACTCTCCCCAGGGGCCTCCATGGAGCAGCCAGGGCAGGGAGGAAGAGCAGCACACCCCGGGGGTCTGAGAGCAGCCGTGGGGGGTGTGGGAGGACACGGTTCTCCAGGGCCTGGGTGAGCACAGATAGGATGACAAACGGAGCAGGAGCCCCATGTGGAAGATGTTATTCAAAGCAAATGAAAACAGTCAAGGAAGAGGGTGGTGGAGTGGCACAGCCCGAGCCTGTCCAGAGACCCCCCAAGACCCCCCAGCACAGCCCGTGGTGAGCCCTGCTGGGGACACAGGTGACAGCACAGACACCATGTGAACAGGGGCCCTGGCACTCAGCCCACCAAACCTGCCCTCCATACAACTCCCAGGGTTGGCTCCACTGGGACCCTGTTCCTACAGATCCATACAAAACCTTCCCATTAAATACCATGGGAATATCTCCCGAGGTAATCACAGACTTTCCTTTCCAGCAATGACATTATTTACTGCACGATGTACACGTGCAAAGCCATGGGCAGCCCTGGTACCGAGGGAGGGCAGCTCATGGCACACCCCTCCTGATCCCAGCCCCAGCACTGCCAGCACAGCGTGGCCACTTCTTGTCATGCAGCTCATCAGAAATCACACACACGTTACAAAACTATTGCTAAACTCTGGCAACTCATCCAAGCCTCAGCCCCTGCATGTTTGAGTCATGCTCCCAACAAAGGCTGATTTTCCTATAAAAACAAAACACTACCATCTTCTCTACCCCGCAGGCAAGAGGAGTTGTGGGGTTGGCTTTGGGTTTTTTCTTAGAGATAATGTACTTTTTTCTTAGAGATAATGGAGAAACTTTTTGAGGCGTGAATGAAAACAAAAATCACTTTGGAGCCTGTGTTCTTTACCATGGCAAATCAGGAAAAAGTTGAATTTTAAACCAAAATGTTCACATTTTCCCCTGGCAAAGCATTGCAGAAGGGCAGAGCCCCGGGGTGCCTGCCAGCACTTGGCAACTCTTCCTCTTTGCTGCCCAAATTTTTGCAGAGCAGCAAAGAATTGCAGCATCAGAGTCTCTAAGGTGCTGCTGTTGGGATTCCCTGCTGCCTCTGTCACTGCAGCAAGGTGCCTCAGGCAGCAAATAGTTGTTCTGGAGAGTGAGGTGCAGAGAAAACAGTGAGCATTTACCTAAAGCCAGAGACCTGAGAGCCTTCCCCACATGCACTGCCCCGGGTCACCAGTAAAGCTGCAGCCACCACTCCTGCAGGGTGGGAGCCAGGGGCCTTCCTGGGATGTGTGTTTTCATTGCCATGGGCAGTGCTGCTGCAGGAGCAGGAGGATCAGGGGTCCCTTTGTCAGGATCTGTGCCTCTTGCAGGCAAGGCTTCTTCAGAAAAACCATCCTCCTGCTCCCACATCATTAATTTCTTAGCATGATTCACTTAAAAGCAGAATTAATTCCAGTGGGGTTGGCCATGCAGACTGTTGCAATAGAAAAGTAGAGGCAGGACTGCAGGTGGGAGGGCAGGGGGCTACCAGAGGGGAGCCCAGCCTCTCCCAGGGACCCCATCCCTTCCTCTGCTCCTGCTTCAGCTGCCTGGGGAGTAAACAAGGATGATGGGAATCAACCACCCCAGTAAAACCCTTGGCCATCTAGAACTGCAAAGGGCTGTAACACAGCTAGGTCTATTGCAGCAGGAGAAGTTTAAAATTCCAATAGAACTTTAAAATTCCACTGTTATTGTTTATGAGCCCACGGCTCAGAGCTCCACCCAGGGATTGGGGTCCCTGGTGGGTTTGCATTGCAGGCTGGGGGGATCTCCAGCCACGGGCAGAAGACAATGCTCATCCCTCCTCGGACAGGAGCAGTAGGAGGAGTCAAAAAGAAGCAAAGGAGTAAAAATCCTCAGAAGTCCAGTTCGAAAACAAGGAAATTGCAATTATCAGCCTGTTCAAACCCTCCCTGGCTGCCTCGGGGTGTGTGCAGCAAATGCTTTGTGTTGTCTCCCTGGAGATCACTCCTGGGTGTCAGTGCCCTTGCTGCTGGAGCTGGTGGGGATGAGGAGGGGCGAGTGGCAGGATGAGGTGACAGGACTCGGCTCTGCTCAGACGTTTCCAGACCGAGAGCCCTCTGCTCCCCCCCTGCAGGAGCATCCGGAGCAGCCGCGGCTGGCACCGGGCAGGAAGCAGGGCTGGCTCTATCTGTGCCTCCCGCGCTGCCGCAGCCTCACCACAACCACCGGGCGGATATTTCTCCTCCTGAGATGGGAGAGCACACGGGGAGAGGGAGGAAGGGGGGCCCTCAGGGGACAGGCAGGGATCCTGGGGAGCCCGGGCCCTCTGCAGCATCTCTGGTTTAGATTCAAGCTGGCTCCAGACAAAAACCCCTTGGGAAACACCCACCCTGCAATGTCAGTGGGGTCTTCCACAGGGAATCACAACAAATTCCCAGCAGGGCACTGTCCCAGTGAGCAGCACTCTAGAGCCACTGCCATCTGACAGCAGGAAACCCCTCCCTGTGTCACCACCTGCCAGAGCCAGGCACCAGAGCACTGTGGCACAAACCCACTGCCAAGGGGCTCCCCTGAGCCCAGCTGTAACCAGAGCCCAACTGCCCCCTGCCAGGACAGGACCCGGAGGTTCCTGGTTAAAGTGCCAAACACAGTGTTCAAACAGGAGCCAAGAGGCTCAACTCACTGCTCAGCCCTCCCAAGAAGCCCTTCTGTGTCCCTCTCAGCACCTCCAGGATCCCAAACCTTTTCTCTGCTAAATCTGCCTGTCCGGGTGGCCCACCATGAATGCTGGAAGCTGCATCACATTCTCACATGAGCTCGATCTCACCCAGATCACAGCCAGTACCTCCTGCAGAGGAGCTACCTCCCCCTGCAGAGCCTGACCTGGGGAGGGTGGACCAAGCAAGTACAGCAGAACCAGAGCCTTTGTGCTTTCTGCTCTTTGATCTCCCTGTTATCCCGGATGAAGGAGTTCAGATGCAGCCATTTGGGGTGGTGGTTTGTTTGGTTTGGGGTTTAAGCACATAGTTTTTATTACTTAAACAATAAAGAGAAGATTGCACTCCTCACGCAGCTGACAACCTCACCTACGGGTGCCAGTCCCCTCAGTGGGGTGGGAAATGTCCACTGGGTGTAGAACACATGGTTCCCAGAACCTAGAAGTATGTTTCTAAGCTAATTCCCTTTGTGTTCTTTCATTTTTCCTCTGGAAGCTGGTGTTGTGCTGTTGGCCAGGGCTCCCTGAGCCCCATGCCAGTGGGTGGGCTGAGCAGGGCTGATGCTGACCCCCAGATGGGAGCAGGGGAGTGAGGGCACTGGGGCGAGGGTTTCCCACATCCTCAGGCACTGAAAAGCGACTTCTCTTTCTCCTGCCTGCAGTCCAACTTCTGCAGCACTGCCCTCACCTGCCTGTGCCTTTCCCTGATAACATGGAGCCCGATTGCTGCCTGAGGGGCACAGAGCTGCAGAACACACTTCCCAGGGCAGCCAGCTGGGCACAAGCTGTCAGGGGGTGGAGTGCAGGCAGACGAGCAAGAGCAGGAGGGAGGGCATGGCCAGGCTCTGCTCCTGCCCTGCCCCACGGGATGGGTTGGGATGGGACAGGGCAGCTCCTGGCCCCTGGCTGTGGGCAGGGGGACACAGAGACCCCCAGGAGATGAGAGCCCAGAGCACCCCAGCCCTGCCACGGGGCTGGGATCCCCCTGGGGTTCACAGGCTGCTCAAACAGCTTTTACTCTTGAAAAATCCCAACTGGCTTTCAAGGGCTGAGAAAAGTAATCCCTAATGGCTCCTCTTTTGCCTGAACTTTTGACCATTTCTGCCTTTGTTGATATTTTGTAACTTTTTTATTTATAAATTTCCTTCCTTCCACCACAGGTTGCTCTGCACAAGCAGCTATTCCACACAAACAGCTTTGCAAGAGGAGTTCTATCTCTCAGGCCAAATTATCTCACTGCCCCCAGATACAGCCCTGCTTAATAATGAATGACTATTTTTATTTCCTGGAATATTGTAGAGATTCCTCTGATGCACTGAAGGAAACCAGCCCTGTGCTCGGTGCTTGGAGAGGAGCCGGGAGCTGAGCACTGCAGCAGGGACGCAGGGCAGAACCACCCCTGGGAAGCTCTCATTCCTGCTGGAAGGTCTCACACTGGAAGTTTTTAAAGTTTGCCTCTTCTCACAGCTCTGGGGAACAGTTTTCAGCTGTGGAAAACCAACAGCTGTTTAAAAAAGACACCCAAGTTTCAGAAACACCAAATGCTGTGGTTTTCCAGCAGCTCTGGCAGTGCTGGCGGGTTCTGGTACCTCCACAGGCCCTCACACATCTATTGGAAACACCAAATATTGAGAGACAATAGCACCTGAAAGTGCTGTCCCCACAAAGAATACCCTAAGAGGGATTTCCTCTCCCCATAAAGGGCATGGAGAGTCCCTGGGACACAGTGAAGGCTCTGCCCTGCAAACCCTGGCAGCCCCTCGCCCATCACAGCTCACGGCAACGTTGGAGCTGGTTCTGAGAAATAAATGCAGCAGTATTTCTCTTCCCTGGGCAATTCCGACATATTCTGAAGTGAGCTGCAAATTTTTAACATTCGTAGTTGCTGTTCAGTATTTTGAGTCAAAATATTAATTTTTTTCACATTGAGTAGTGTTAAACTCAAAGTGCTAGAGCATGGCAGCACTTCAAGCTGCTAACAGCATTCTACTCTGAAATGTTCCCATAAATAGGAAAGACTGGATAAATTATACTGTACAGCTCCACAAAACTGACATAAACCCATGAGCAAAACTAACAGGGAAGAAAACCTCTCAACAAAGCTCAATTGAGCACTTTAATTCTCATCTCCAAGTCTTTCCTTGCTTAACCCCTGGTTTTAAAAGATCTCTGAACGTTTTCTATTTTTTCTTTTTTTTTTTCATTTCCCCCCCCTCTTTAAAATAGTTCCATTTCTGTGCAGTTTTGCAGAGTGAGTTACAGAATTTTTCCTCTCTCATTGCATTTACTCCCCTACTCGTGACAAACAACAGCAAACCCGGGTGGGAAAAAAACCGGCGGGGCAGCCAGAGCCACTGCTACCAGGCTGGAGCTGTCCCACGGCTGGGTCTGTGGAGAGACAGTCCCCAAACTTGACTTAAAGCACCCCTAAGCAGCCCTGAGCGCAGCAGCCTCGCAGCACGGCGGGTGAGGTGGATCCTTTTCCTCCCCTGATAAAGCATCGCACATTTTCGCGTTATCGCGGCAATTCCTGCGTCAGTGCAATGCCAAGCACGCCGCAGGAATGCGGCTCCAGGGAATGCTGGCTGCCTGTGGACACGCTCCGGGTGCTGCCGCATCGCCCGCGGGCAGAGGGACCGGCCCTGCCCCGGGGGTCCCCTGGGGAGAGCAGCCCCAGGGCCGAGCTGGGCCGTCCTCGGGGAGAGGGGTGGTTGGTTTGGCGGCTTTTTTTAAGCGTCAACTTCCTCAGCTGTCTGCCGGCTTTTACCCCGAAAACTCCAAGCCCTGGTACACATCCTGTGCCCTCCTGGCTGCCTCCGGCCGGGGAAGCTCCTCAGCTGATGAACAGACACAGTCTGCTCTCATGGCCTCTGCAACCCAGCGTGAGTCTGACAAGGCAACATTTAATTAAAGCAAATCCCCACATGATCTTCAAACAATCTTTTTTTTTTAATTACAGTGCATCAGAGTTACGTGTTTAACGAATTGTACAACGCTGTGGTGACCCCCATCCACTGACAAATCTCAGGAGGGCACATCTGTGTTCATTTTCTGATCTCTCCTTTTTTCACCCTGCACAAACATGCAAAGCCCAGAACCTGCCTGCACAAGCGAGTGCCAACACTTGGGGTGATGCCCATAGAGGGGCTCAGGCACTACAGGACCAGCAGCTCCTGTGGGACCCATCTCAGCACCCTTCACCCCTGCTGGGACTGGGGGTACAGGAACCCAGCCCCGTGTGGGGAATTTGGGTGGGAGTGCCCTGCTGGCCCGATGGATCCCAGTGCCAAGGCTGCATCCCAACCCCATCACTGCAGGTTGGCTCTGGAGGACAAGAGCCACAGTGTCCCCGTGGCCGTGGGGTTGGCAGTTTGCACCTCAGCACCTGAGCTCTGCCCAGAGCAGGGCTGGGGCTGTCGGCAGCTCCAAACACGGCCCCAACACTCTGGAGTGGGTTTGGTAGGAGCACACCTTCCCTGTTCCTAAACCACCTTGATCCAACCTGGGAGCGAGTCTGGGAGGAGAAGAGGCACAAGACGCCAGCACACCCCGACCGTGGCAAAGACGTGAACAAAGTACAAGCTCCAGCACGGTTTTAACGCGGCTCTCCTCCTCTTTTCAGGGAGCAGGTGGAACGCAGCCATCCTTTAGCCCCAATGGAGCCGCCCCGACACACGCGGTGCCCAGGAGCGAGCCGGGCAGTGGGGGATGCGCCGGCACAGGCTGTTCCAGGAGCGGCACGCGGGATGCGGTGGGAAGGCACCGCGCTCGCCCGGAGGCTGGAGCCGTGCGGCACAGACGCTCCGCGCCCGGCGAGGAGACAGCTGGGCCTCCTCCGGACCAGGCGAGAGCAGGGGATGACTCAGCCTCCCCCGGCAGGAGCGGGCGGGGGCACCGCGGGCTCCCACAGCCGGCGGCAGGACGGGCGCGGCCCCTCCTTGGCCCCCGCCGGCCGGAGGGGCTCCCGCAGCATCCCAGGATACCGCTGCCCACAGCCCCGGGCTGCGCTCGGCGGGCAGCAGCTCCCCCAAAGGCATTCCCAGCTTGGCACGGGACCCACTCCCCAGGCAAGAAGAGACAAGAAGCTGTTGACACGTTTCTTCCTGTTCCCATTGAAAACCACTTTGGAGCGGGGCTGCGAGAAATCACGTGCCCGGTTTAACAGATTTCTTCCCAGAATGAGCCTTTGGTTCAGAAGGGGAGGATGGGAGGGATTAAAAAATTAAAACAAAATTCTGTTTGCCCGAGAGAACTGTCACAGCACGCTTGGAAAGGGCGCCAGGTCCTTCACCAGTTCCTGCCCTGCAGTAGCCTGAACTGGTGCCACTTGGAAAGCAGAACCCTGAAGCAGCAGTTTGGTTCATGTAATCATTAATACCCACTGCACTAGGAAAGCATTTACACATCAAGTATAAGAAAATGTTGCCCATCTGTCACAAGTAGGAACCTTCAAACTGCAGCATCACAAATCATTGCCTGGGATTGGGAGGGAAAAAAAGGAGGGAAAAAATCAAGAAAAAAAGGGAAAGGGTTGGAAGTGTGTCCTTTTCCTGCTGTCAATCTGGCTGGCGCCAGGCTGGAGGGACACGGATCTGCTGGGCACAGCGGGGTGCGGGTGCTGTCCCCCGGGGCTGGGGGGCACCAAGGAGGGCAGCACTGCAAAGGTGCTGCAGCAGGGCAGATGGTAAAATGCCAGGAAATAACCAGGGAAGTGGAGAGGAGCGAGGCCTAGCCATGATGAGGAGAGGAGCATTGTTCCAGCACTGAACATGCAATGACACAGGAGAGGCACGTGAAGAGCAGGGCGGGGTTCTGGCAGTTTCTGACACTGGGTGCTGCCTGTGGGACATCACCCTGCAACTGCGTGTTGGGGCATCTCAGGGCACGGGGCCAGCCCCATCCTATCCCATCCCATCCCCTCCCCATGGGGCAGCCCCCAGCTGCCCTGTTCACCCTGGAAGCAACTCAGGGTTGCAGGACCCCAGAGGGGGCTTGGGCTGCAGGGAGGGACCCAGGGGAGGCAGTGGACACACAGCTGCTGGGCACCGGGCACAACCCCTTCTCCCTTTCCATGGAAAATGAGGGGCCCTGCCGGCATCTGCCGAGCAGCAGAGCCGCGTGTGTGAACTTGCAGCTGCATTCTGCTTCTGCTGCCCTGAAAGCAAAGTGATGACTGAATTCCTGAGAAAGAAAACAGATTGGGAAACAGAAGATTGCTCAATGCACCTGCCGGTGAGTCAGAAAGCACAGACCTGGCACGCTCCTGAAGCTGTGAGTGGCTGTGACGGGGGTACCCGGGGGCAGCCAGGAACAGCCCTGGGGGCAACAACCCCCCACTTTCCTGGCAGAGCATCTGCACACTGGGCTCTGCTCTGGGCTGAGCCTCGTCAGTGCTGAGGGCAGGGGATTCCAAGGGGGCTGGGCTGGGTTTGGCACCCGAGTCCTGGCTGGGCACCCAGGCCCAGAGAGCCAGGCACTGCCCCAGCCAGCAGCATCCTCCAGCCCCAGCCTGCCCTGGTGACACGGCCACCAGGGGGAAGGGGACTGTCACGGATGGCTGTGGCTGGGGAGCTCTTGGGAACGGGAACAGCCCAGCACTTCCTGAGCGGTCCCAGCAATGATGGCAAACACCCACCTCAGGTGCATTGCTGTCTCTAGCAGGCTCATCAAAGAGTGTGGGCACTGCCAGGCCAACGTCAGCGTTTGCCAACACCCAGTTACAGCAGCTTCCTCCAAAGGAAAATAACATGGATAAACCACATGAAAGGGCAACGCAGCCCCAGCGTGTGCATCTCACTGCAGAGACACGTGTCCTCCAAACTGTGTGGAGTAATTTCAGAGAATGCACACAAAGTGACTGATATCTGCTCTTGGGAGAGGTTAATACAGGCAGGCAGCAGTGACATTTGGGAGGAATGCTGGTAGAGGCTTAGGTACCCCTGAAAATTTTATAGGACAAGCTGGATTTTGTGAGTTCTTCAGCTCTCTCCCATGAGCTGTTCCTCTTCCCTCTCTGTCTGTGCATCTATTTTAGGATGAAGTTTTCACTTCAGCACAGATGTTCAGAACTAGGTTTCATGCAGTAACGATCTGTTCACATCATTTTCCTTTTTGCACCAGAAACCACGAAGCAAGGAAGGAGCTGGAGCCAGCAGCAGCTGGCAGGGCCGGGTCAGTGACGCGCTGGGCGTGTTTCCCCCCTTTGCTTACGGTGCCCGATGCCACAGACGCAGCACCCGCAGTCACAGACCCCTTTGCCATCAGGTGTTGGGGTGTCCCCAGCAGGACCCCCGGCTCTGGCACCACTGCCACCCCTCCGGGCTGAGCCAGCCCCCAAAGTGCCTCTGCTGAAACAGCGGCGAGCACCGGGCAGCAAAGGCGAGCGCGGATGGCGAGGGTTGGCATTGGAAGAAGGGCATGGGAAGGGACCAGCAGAGCCCCTCCATGGCCGTGGGGCTCAGTGCCCTGACACTGCTCCGAGCCACAACCCCGGGCAGCTCCAGTGGGCTCTGCCAGCACACACAGAAACACGGGACAGGCTCTGTGCTCCAGCCAGCACCAGGACAAAGCTCTTCCAGGGCAGACGCAGTGCCCGCCCCATGGAGAGGGAGTTTTGGGCAGGATCAGGAGCTGCTCAGCCTTATCCAGACAAGCACTGGCTGGGCCTGGCCCCCTTGGGCAAGGTCCTGCTTCCCTCGTGATGCTGCACCCACTAATGCTGACACTGAGCCACGCTCTCCATGCTGTACCAAGTGTGCTTTAGAGCTCTTGAGGCCCAGCTGTACTCAGACAGCAGCTGCCACCACTGACCTTTCCCTGGACCAGAGGTTTACACTGAGAAGAAACAAACGGGCTGTGGGTGGAAAGGTCACTCCCCACCATGTGTTTGGTCTGGCTTGTTTCCCTCAAGCAGCACTTTGTGATGCACCCACACAGAGCCCTGGCTGGGACGCAGAGCTGGTCTGTGCCTGCCCTGTGCCCGTGCTGAGCACGGCACCCTGTGCTCCCTGTGCATCCAGGGCTGGGCAATCAGCACATCCTGGCACGTGTGGCTGGGCATTAACAACAGCACCCAAGCAAGAGCAGAGGAAAAACAGTTCTCTCATAATTTTTCTTATGCAGATGCTGCTCTCCATCATGAGCATCCTCCTTCCTTCCCAGCCAAGCCCACTGGCATCCCACCAGCACCCCACGGCTCCAGCACCTGCACTCACCCTGAGCTTTCATTTCCATTCTCCCAGCCTTGAGGGTAGGATGGGCTCACTCTCCCAATCCCTTGGATATATCACCCACCATCTGGAAGTGCCTCAAGTGCCTCCCACCACTGCAGGGCCCTGCAACTGAGGGCATGGAGAAACAGGTAAAGCACTTTTGCTCTCTGCACCCCCAAAGCTGAGGATCCACATGGCACCAGGGCAGCTGCAGAAGGCTCATCCTCCTCTCAAATCCTCAGAAGCAGCATCAAGCACTCAATGCCACCCTTCACTTTAATAAATCACTCTTAGAGCCATGACAGAGGCACAAAACCAGGGCAATCCCAGGGCACAGCAGCCCCACTGCTTTTCTGCACCATTAGCCAGACACCAGTGGGGTGAACTGGGCTGTCCCGAGGTCAGGCTGACCAGGAGGGGAGACCCCGACCAGCAAGGTGCCCCCCAGTGCTGATGTCCTCCTGGGACTCTGGATGAGCTGTGTCCTGGAGATTCTCCCCCCAGGGGATCCCAAGCCATACCCACCCCAGCAGCACCCAGCTCCTTACCTGCTCACGTAGAGGCTCCTGAGTCCCTCCTGCAGCCCCAGCTCCCTCCAGCCCTTCAGCCCAGCTGAGCCCCATCACAGCCCCGCCCGCCCCGGGGCCACTCAGCCCCCCCGCCGGCACCTGTGTCCTTCTCCAGACGCTTCTCTCTCCTGTTCGCGCTGTGGGTCGGGAGCTGCTGGAGCTGCTGCATCCCCTGGCAGAGCACAGCGGCTGTGCTGCCCGGCCCCACGTGCTGCTGTGTCCCCGGACCCCGCGGTGGCAGAGCCGTGCCGGTCCCAGCGCCAGGGCATCGTGCCATGCCGGGCTGGGACCACAGAGAGCAGTGATTGGCTCTGTTTGGGAAGGAAATACGCTTTTTTTTTTTTTTTTTTTTTTTAATTACAACTAAGATCTGTGTGCAAAAAGAGCTTCAGAATTATTCTGTTTCCTCCTTCCTGCCACCATTCCCTGCCCTCCTCACAGATCACACAAAGGTGATTCAAACCCCTTCCCAGGTTTCTGCTCCTCCCTCCCTGAAGGCCCAGAATCCTCCCCCGGTTCAGAAAAGCCTCTTGGCTGCAGACACAGGGGATCCCTTGGAACAAAATGCTGTTAGTTTGCTTTTAACATCTGATAACAGTTGTTGCTGCTCGTGTGGTTGTCATTGTCCCGGCCCTGGCCAGCGAGGTGTTGTGGATGGAAAGGTGTCACATGCCAGAGAGGTGGCACAGACAGGGAGATGCCACAGCTGGAGAGGTGCCACGGCTGGCAAGGTGTGATGGCTAATGAGGTGTCCCGGAGGCCCGCGGGCAGCGAGGTGCCACATCCCCGAGGTGCCACATCCCCGAGAGGTGTCACATCCCCGAGG